TTTCCAGAGTAAACTTAAAAAAAAATTCTCTCCGTGATATATATGTGTCTAATATGTTTACAAAACAGATTTCTATAATAATAATTTTATAGATAAGTCTTTCAAATTAATGTTAAAATAAATATTAAAGTATAATGAAAGTAGCATGCATATTTAATATCAAATAATTGATGCTTATCAAAATTCATATCTTTAAATGTACGCGTGATTAGTTTATCTACTTTAACATTACTTAATATTATATATTTATTTGATTATTAGTTATATTTGTTATGCTATTAACCCTCTATTATTTATTGTGCGTATATGGAAAGCACTGAACGCATTGCTACATTGAAATAAATTTCGCTAAAACGTTTGTGTAAAACGCGTAACTTTTGTTCAATCGGCAAGTAAGTTAAAAAACATTAGGAACAATGCAATATTGCGATGAATTTTGGTCGCAATTATTACAGCTGTTCGAAAGCACAAACGCGTCAAAAACAGGTGCAGTTACGCGCCTGCAAGTGATAGTCGAGCGCCGAATTCAAAGCTGTGCTCACGTACATATTTCCTCGCGCTCGCTGCACGAGAATGAAAAGTCCGTTTCTCGACTTTCCTAGCGGCTGATAGTTTGTTTGCCCCGTCCCAGCTTTTTTTCTCTCCACATCTGTGCGCGTGTGCACAACACACTTTCACGTAATGAACGTACCTGCATGCATACATATATTTCCTGAAAACTGGCAATCTACAATAGAGACTATCCTCCAACAGCGAAAATTAAATATTTACAATAATATTAAAAATCCCCATAGCAATCGGATTATCAATCAGTTCGCTTTCGATAATTTATCAATAAAATACGAAATATCTCTCGGCAATTTAATTCTCTTAATATACTTTTCCGTTATTTATTTCTTCAAATATATCCCGCGGCTTATACTTCAATTATTATTAATTATTTCTGCCAATTATTTTCTTTCTAACGGTATAATGGATTAGCTTTATTTGTCGGAAACGTTCTCTCATCCGTCATATTTTATTCCGCTTGTTGCTATTTGCGTAGCAACCATTTAGTCGTATTACGGTACTCTTCATTTTGACAAATTTTCGATTATGCTTTTACAGCCTTGATGGAAATTTACGTAAATATCTGTATTTCGATAAATATATACGCCGAGTCACAGAGATACGTATTGTAACTTCTATTTGCGGCACTCTGCAGAACACAGAAATAGCACATCTTTCAGGCGCTATTAATTTTGTCGCCGTCAATACAACGTGACTTTTCATTTTTGTACAATTTTTTTACTCGCGATTCGTCACTGAAAGTTTGTTTAATGCAATATTCGATTTGATGTAATTGTTATAGATAATAGATTGACTTGTTCAAGAAACTGTCAAGAACCAGTGTAACGAAAAGTAATTATCAAGTTTATCAAAACTTAAATCAAAATACTTATTCGAAACTATTAATGGATTGCTAATTAATGAAAAGATAGAAAGTTTGAAACAGAAAATTAGTTTGAGACTTCTCATACATTTTTCGTTACGAGTAATAAAATACTTAGAACTTTTATTACTGCAATAAGATTGCATTTCATTGTTATAAACATTTTTGTTTCTTAAAAACTATTAAATCAAAATATTAATAAACTTGTTGTTAATAAAGGACTAATACTTTTTTATTTTTTATCAATATTTTATTTGATTAATGTTATTTGTAGCCAATTTCTTAAAAGTATATTTTGTTATCCAGATTTGATTTTTACATCAAAAATCTATTAAAAGATCCTGATCTCTCCATTAACCTTCTTTAAATATTGATTAATAAATATCTCAGTTCTTGACATGGTCACATCTTGATTCTTTGGTCACGTCGGAAGTCGCGTAATTTATACCTTATTAATTAAGACCGATGTGAATTTTATTACCGCATTAACATTGCATTATTATTATAAATATTTTTCTTTTATAACGATTGTTGGATTGCTATATTAATAATTTTGTTATTAATGGGAGACTGTTATTTAGCATTATTAACAGGTTAATAGGTTAACATATTATTTGTAGCTAATTTTTGGAAAGTTCAGATATTTCATTTTTCATATTTGATTTTTACATCAGAAGTCTATTGAAAGATAGACTCCCTCCCCTCCATTGACCTTCTTTAAATATTAATTAATAAATTTATCAGCTGATCCTTAAATTTGGCACAACCGTGTCGGAAATCGCGTAATCTATCCTGCCGGAAGACCGATGCAAATTAGTATTCCTTTCGAGCGGATTCGGAAGAGCTGACCCAGTAAGAGATTACTCTCCTGTCACAATATTAGCCCGTGAAACTCCTTGCAGAAACTTTTTTGTCTGTAAGTTCCAAACTGCCGAGGATATTTCCTTTTAAGTGCCTTGCTTCGTGTTTAATGAAGGGCGGGACGGTTCGGGATGGGGTTGGAACCGACGGAACGAATTGGAGGGGGACGAGGAAGAGCGGCAGGTGATAACATCAGAATGTAATTGAAACTTACGCGTTGCTGCTCCGTCATTTTTCTGTCTGACATTCGGCGACGACGACGTCGACATCAACGGTAACGCCGACATCTGGATTCATTACTTATAGTCTGGCAACGCTCAGTTATTACGAAACTTACGGTGTCTTAGGATAGTAATTAAGGCGCCCTCTCACACTTCCATTCTTTCTCCGACGGACATTGTACTAATTAAGCCGCGAGCGCCGGAATCTCGAATGGGGCCTCGAGCCTGGTTTTAAAAGAGAGCGTTTAAGGCATCGAAATTATCTCGATCGCGCAGAGAAAGAAGGTGCTTCATGAAAAATCATTCAGCGTGTAAAGAAGTGAGAGACATATCGTCGCCACATAACGTGAGATTGAACGTTAAAGGACGGTTAAGGATTCTTATTCAGAAAAATATAATGAAATATAGAGAGGAAATATAGAGAGGAAGTAATTACATTTGAATAAATGTTGTGAGTAATTAATTAGAAGTACATATGCAGGAACAATTATTAGCTCTCATTTAATTCAGACGAATGCATTATATTAATTTTTAAATTAAATTAAATTATAAGAAATTTTGCAATTAGATAATGAATTTTCGTTCGCAAATTTTTTCTGCTGAACAGATCGTAATTGTAGATGTGTGAAGTCAAGGTTTCATTTTAACAGAGTTTTCCCTCTATAATACGATGAGACGTTTTACCTTGTCAGATTGTTCTGCAATATTCATTACGTTTTGCAATATTCAAATTTTTGAACTTTTGATATGATGTTCAATTTTTGATACAATGTCTCATGTAAGAAATATAAAATTGATAAATAATTTTGTACATATAAATATTATATATACTCTTTAAAATTAAGAATGTTGACTGTCTTGACTGACTATGATAAATATATTAAGTGAACCCGCATCGCGCACGAACGCTGCGTAATAATAACGGCATACATTAATGTCACCGTCTAGTTGCGGCGCGATTAATGTACGAATGTGTACTGCGGCAAATAATTGTTGCTGTTACATCCCAACGTGGTGTACGATATTGTTGATAAATTCATTCGAGCATTGCGTAATTATTTTCGTCCAAATTTCGCAATTATTTTGAATCCAACATTGAATGCACATACACACGTACAGATATGCGTATGCGGCAATCTGAAGTTTCCATAGAGAGCATTTACATATTTCTAATACAGTTTGACGTATTTCACATATCACGCTATATAAATATCACGTTTATCTGTAAAATAATTTAAAATTATTACGCAAATAACTTATAACTATTACGTAATTATAATTTATAACTTTTTATAAAAACATTAATATAAATTTTAACATTTTTGTTTTATATTTATGATTATTTATTAAATTTTTCTTTAATGATGTATGTCGTACACATTGTTTAGACTTACTAGTGTATAATATTTTATGTTTATGTTACATAAAGAAATATTTTAATTCTCAAAAATATATTTAAAATTGGCTATATTTAGGCTTTTACTTTATTATACTATATTTGATATTTAATCCTCCATGCACTAAGTGGAGTGTGACACATATCCTAGCAAAATTTAAACTGCTTAAATTTAATTCGTAAGAAATAGTATTATTTTTGTTTTAAAGGATTAAAGAGTTTATTATTTCGTTTTGTTCTTATATCTTAAGGAACAAGAATCAATATTATGACAGTCGAAATTATTGTTGTATTAAATTAGTATACTTAAAGCGGAGTAATAACATGGGGTATATGAGGTATCTCACATGGTTTGGCATGTTGATTTTTTCCACCTGGTGCACGGAGAATTAAACAAATTAACTACTCAGAATATATTTAAATGCAGATCATTTACTCGTCTCTCTCATACGTAATTTTTAATCCAACTGTATATATCGCTCGTTTTCAAGCGCGAACGTGTTATTTGTGTGTTAAAGTTCTATTTCAATATAGCCACCGGAAACGTCAGCAGCTTAACAAATTATTTGTGCGCTCCATGATTTTCGATTGTTATCGGACGAAAACGGCCGGCGCTCAACGTCGAAACGGGGAGTAAACGAGAACGGCTATCGAACGGAGAAATTAATTGTTCCACGGAGATCTCGCGTCATCGCGTTTTACAACAATCTGCAGGATGGATTTGCTCTCAAAAAAAAACAAAAAATACTTGCGCGCGAGACTGCGTTATCGTATCGCCGATATTTCGCGCTCGCACATTCGCGGTTTAAGGCCATCGCCCATATATATGTATCAATTCGAGAGCGTAAGTGTTGCGCGTGTAAGCTCGGCGGATGGAGCATTTTACATAAATTCTATCAAACAATAGGACAACTTATATTTGGTTACACGCCATTAGTCATGCACGCTTGTACGCCGTGCTGTCAAGCCAATTTGCGCGCGATGGCCGGGGGCGGCTGTATCGCGTGCTAAATTCGCGCGTGCCATTTGTCACCCGGCCGAAACACACACATTGTTGCCATCGCTTTAATAATAATTTTCGCGGTTACAGTGGCGTGCTCGACGGTGACGGTGAAAAAGTGTCAGGCGGCTCTGCGCACCCTGCAGGCTTTCACTTTCTTCCGACCGACGTGCCTCTGCAGGGAGCCCCATGTCGATCCGGACTGCAACAGCTTCCAGAACTTCCTGTTCGACCACCCGTGCGACTACGTGGAATGGAAAGGTGAGAGATCCATAATCTGCGATGAAACGAAACGTTAATTTTCAGTTACGCATTATACGTGTACATATAGTGGAAACTCCGTTTTTTTCCGAAACGTATATCGGGGGACAAGATAGCTCCGATAACCGAATAGATTCGGATAATAGAGGCTCAGCTAGCTCTCTCCCCTCTAGCAGTACTTTTAGCTTCGATAATAGGAGCTGAGAAGTTCGGAAAACTGAAGTCGAGCTCTTATTATCCGAATCCATTCGGATAATAAGAGCTCGGTTGTGAGTTCGTATATTATTTTTTTTTTATTGAGCACAAACTTGTTCGTATATATACCTAAATGGAATGCAGATAGAGTTCTACTCTATACATCGTTTACATCATTTTTCTGAGCCTGCGTGTGCATAATAGATTGACAGCTCAATTATATCTTTGACCAGGGATTGGAAGTAACTCGTTATTTGTATAACGCCATTACCGTTGAAGTTACTTTTTTTTGGCAACGGCAATTGGTAACGGGGTTATTTTATTTTTTTGGTAATAACTGTAACGGTAACGTAGTTACATTTTTTCGGTAACGGTAACGAATATATTCGGTTACTTTTATCATTACTTTTTGTATTTTGAACTTTCTGTATTTATGACAAAATTTTCGTATGTATATTCAATCTTCCATTTTTAGTTAGTATGCGCATAGTTTACTTTTATTTTATAAGACTGTTTTAAATAATGTCTTAAAATATTAATATGGCTCTGTAATTTATGACATCTCAAGAATGCCAATAAGTCAATCAATATCACAAATAAAATTTTACAAATAATTTAATAAGATATTTTTACGTTATATGCATCTTAAAATATTTAAAAAAATTTATTGTGAAAAAATATCAGCTGAATTGCGTTTCAAGATCGAAAATTTAAT